TCAAACAGTCCTGATCTTTTCTTTAAATATTATTTAAAGGGACATCAGAGATGGTTCGTGGCTCAGCGTAGCCACAGGAGGTCTCCACCACACAACCTGAGCCTCTCGTTCCTCCTGCATGTGGCCCCTGATGACTCTCCGAGCCCTTCCGTAAAACCCCACTGAAACAGAAGGACTGGACACGGCACACGTGGGTTACTGTTTAAATTTAATTCATTTCATCTTCAAAGGGTTTACAAAGCCTGCAGTTTAAATGCTTTATTTTTCTCCCTGGAACAAAGAATAATACAGCTGCACATCATTGACACATCAGATTATTTTGTGCAGAGCAGCACCCAGACATGAGGAGGCAACACTTCGTATTAGAGCAGAGCGCGCTGCTAAATAAATTCATGCATTAGTTGTCCCCGGCTGTTGGCACCATCTTTAGGATGAGGGACCTGGAGGTACCCTGGATCTACAGCCCCGGCTCTGAAAACACTGTGCCAAACGGAAATAACGTCAGAATGCAACGATCAGTAAATTTTATGAACCAATATTTTATTCACAACGAAACATAGTAACAAAACAAATGCTGAAGCTAAGAAACTACCGTTTTTAGATGAAAAGACGGTAATTTTGAATCTGATGGCAGCAGAATAAAATTTTAAAAAGTGTTGTTTAGGTTTTTTTGTCATATTTCCTGAAGCATCCCCTCTTCATTTAACATCCAGGACCTGAGGGGACCAGATGTTGGAGGTTTTGGAGGACCTGAGTGGACCAGTTGGAGGTTTTGGAGGACCTGACGGGACCAGTTGTTGGAGGTTTGGGAGAACCTGAGGGGACCAGATGTTGGAGGTTTGGGAGAACCTGAGGGGACCAGATGTTGGAGGTGTTGGGACCTGAAGGGACCAGTTGTTGCAAGGTTTTGGAGGACCTGAGGGGACCAGTTGTTGGAGGTTTTGGAGGACCTGAGGGGACCAGTTGTTGGAGGTGTTGGATGACCTGAGGGGACCAGTTGTTGGAGGTTTTGGGACCTGAAGGGACCAGTTGTTGGAGGTTTTGGAGAACCTGAGGGGATCAGTTGTTGGAGGTGTTGGATAACCTGTGGGGACCAGATGTTGGAGGTTTTGTGACCTGAAGGGACCAGTTGTTGCGAGGTTTGGAAGGACCTGAGGGACCAGATGTTGGAGGTTTTGGAGAACCTGAGGGTACCAGATGTTGGAGGTTTGGGAGGACCTGAGGGACCAGATGTTAGAAGTTTGGGAGGACCTGAGGGACCAGATGTTGGAGGTTTTGGAGAACCTGAGGGTACCAGATGTTGGAGGTTTGGGAGAACCTGAGGGGACCAGTTGTTGGAGGTTTTGGAGGACCTGAGGAGACCAGATGTTGGAGATTTTGGAGAACCTGAGGGGACCAGTTGTTGGAGGTGTTGGATGACCTGAGGGGACCAGATGTTGGAGGTTTTGGGACCTGAAGGGACCAGTTGTTGCGAGGTTTTGGAGGACCTGAGGGTACCAGTTGTTGGAGGTTTTGGAGGACCTGAGGGGACCAGTTGTTGGGAGGTTTTGGAGGACCTGAGGGGACCAGATGCTGGACGTTTTGGAGGGAACATTGTCCATTCTGATCTGATGGAGGATTCTAGCTGTTTAACAGCCGTGGGTTTCTTTGTATTTTTTGTGTAATCGTTTTAACAAAAATGTCCAGTCGGTGAGAGATCTGGACTGCAGGCTCGTTTACTAGAAAGCCATTCCGTTGGTGTGAGGTTTAGCTTCGTCTTACTGAAACATGACAGGCCTTCCCTGAAAAATATGTCATCTGGATGGGAGCAGATAATGTTCTAAAACCTGTTGACAATTTTCTGAATTAAAGCCTTTCCAGATGTGTAAGCTGCCCATGGCAGTGGCACTAATGCACCCCTATACCTTTAGAGAAGCAGGTTTTGAACTGTGAGCTGATACCAGGCTGGATAGTCTTTCCCCTAATTAGTAACTAGGTGGTTCCCAAAAATAATAAAAATTTTAATCCGTCTGACCTCAGAACAGTTCTGGACTTTGCCTCAGTCCATTCTAATTAGCTTTGGTCCAGAGAAGACGGCACAGGTTCTGGATGGTGTTCACATCTGGCTTCCTTTTTGCCTGATAGAGCTTTAAACAGCATGTGTGAACTGTGTTTACAGAATAATGATGTGTGGAAGTGTTCCTGAACCCAGAACAGAACCAGACCTGGTTTTAATGCAGTGGCCCCCGAGGGCCGGAAGATCACGACCATCCAATGTTGACGTCCAGCCTCGTCCCTTGAGCTTAGAGATTTCTACAGATTATTTTCTATTCTGAAATTATTCCTCTATTTTTTACAGTTTTTCATAGACTGCTGAACCTCTGCCCATCTTTACTTCTAAGAGATTCAGCCTCTAAAACTCGCTCTTTATATCCAGTCCTCTTATTGACTTGATTCCAATTAAGCAAATTAGTTATAAAATCCTCTTCCAGCTGTTTTTTGTTTTTATTCATACAACTTATTTTACAGCCTTTTGTTTCCTCTGGCTCATTTTTATTTAGATTTGTTGCTGCCATAAATTTCAAAATGACCTTACTTTTTCTGAAAAATGGTAAAATTTCTTAGTTTTAACCTTTGATGCCATGTTCCACGATGAACAAAATGTGTGTTTGCGAGGTGTTCAAATGACTGCATTCTGTTTTCATTTACGTTTTACACAATGTCCCAACGTTGGCGGAACTGGGGGTTGTAATTTAACTATAGTTTGTTCAAGTCCAGTATCAAGAGAATGGTTACTGCTTTGATTCAAGTATCAGGAGGGAGGAAAATTTAAAAATGCTCAAACCACCACAGAGATCAGAACAGTGTAAACAATCGCTGCATTCTTTTAAAAATACATAGACGGTATCAATAATTGCATGACTTATAAATAAATGACTTTGTCTAAGTATCATACAAGCTCGTTAGCACTTCACGTCATGTAGCTGTCAGTGCTATGCAACAAATATTAGATATTACTACTGATAATAACATTATTAAGAACGATTATAACAAGTCATCGTAAAAATTAGCAAAAAGCTAGTCAACTACCATGTAAAGGAAAGGTTTGAACGCTGTGCTTTTTCATCAAAAAAAGAAAGAAAGGGTAAAAGGCTGCGGGACCATCGGCGTGAGGACCACGCCGCTGTTATAAGACGTTGGCACTGGAACGTACTGTACACTCTAAAAGACCGACAGGCCCTCAGAAAGAGAGGAAGCTGTCCAAAAACAGGAGCGGAGAAACATGCAGGCCCTCGGGGTCGGCTTAAATGTCAAAGGCCTCGCCGTTCATTCAGTCTGGGACAGGCAGAGAGGAATCAGGCTCAGGAAACAAAAACTTTGAGGGATAATGGAGAAAACAAAACACCTCTGGTTGGCAGCTTCACACAATTCACTAAAGAAAAAAGTAAAATGGAAGTAAATCACTCAAGCTGCGTTAAAGGTACCCATTGCCAAGTCATGTAGACCGCCTAAAAATAAAAAAATAAGAAACATTTTTCTCTAGACAGTTAAAGTGTCCTTGAATTAAAAAGTCCCAAGCAAAATTTGTGAACGGCTGTCAGCAACTACTGACAGCCGTCTTAAGACTGATTTATCCTCTGCAAGACAGCAAGAAATCTGTTCTCTCTGACGTGGTTGCGTGACAAAAATAGCTTTTGTTCTCATATGGTTTCCAAGAATCTGTTCGGTGCACGATGTCCTGGTAGAACTTTTTCCTTGCGGGGGTATTGTGTGATTGGTCAGAACTTCGTGGGCGTGTTTACACGATGAAGCGGCTGAATTAACTCCGCTGAGGAGCAGCTGGCCGAGGCTGTTAGAACGTGCATCCACCTTTACGGTCGATACAGCTAGAGAACTCCTGGAAGGAGGTTGGACCATTTTTGTGCCTGGAGGAGACAGCGCAGAGGCACAGGCGGCTGCCAGAAACAGCGGCGGCGTCTTCGTGACAGATTCGCAAATTAGCGCTTCTACTTGGTTAGCAACAGAAATACCAGCCCTTCCTCCAACTCCTCCATCATCAACTGAAAATAAACCCACTTTGCCAACCGTGTTATCTGCGTTGTTTGTTTGCCTGTCGGGTGCTGCAGTTTCTCTCGGGGTAGAACAAGTCCATGCGAAAAAGAACGCCACACAACCACATGAGCGAGAACAGAGGTCTTGCAAGCTTTACTCGTTTCTTTTTTCTCTAGCGGCAGATTTGCTCTTCTGTTTCCACCTAAATGTCTTCTCTTAGACCGTACGCTTGTTTCGATTCCAGCATATTTGTTTAACTACGCAGACTACAGCCAGCCTAATGTGCGTCAATCGCGTTACTCAAGCTTCCAGGTGACTTTCAACGTACCTTAAGTACGTACTTGCATGTCAGGACTGCATATCAATGCATCTGGAAAACTACCGGAGTAAACTCTTTCAAACTGCACCACTTGATATAGTCCAAGATAAACTTTTTATACGTTGGATTTCAAAGTTTGCAATGAGTACCTTTAAGGTGGCATTGGAAGAGACAGATTCATAAATAATTCTTGACTCGATTGCTGTTTGTCCTTGAAGACGTTCCCCTGGTTCGTTTCATTACTGGTAGAAGTGGATGTGAAGCCTCATCCTTCTTGTTCGGAGTGCAACTGAAATTATTCATCATGCGAGATAAAGGTTCTGTCTCCGGGCTTTAATCGGACCAAACGAGCAGAGTGATTGTTGGCGATCCTGCAGGAAAACCACCACTGAAGGAGGCGTCGCTGCAAACGGTCAAACTCGAATAACCTCAAATAAACAGCACTTTAGGATAAGAAAGTAATTAATACGGTTGGTTTTTTTTCAAAGTTTAGACAAATTTCTGTTTCCTGAGGCAAGTTAGGATCTAGCACAAGAAAAGGGAATAAAAAGGGAAAGTAATCTCTCATCTCATTAAGCATTGAACAAGGCTGTTCTCTAATAACAAAGCAATAACAAACCTATTTAACAAGACATGACACGCTCACTGGGTGGCCGCTTTGGTGGCCGACTCCCCCAAAACCTTCAGCCACCAGGACCGAGCTGACCAACAACAGAGTGTCCACCGGGCAAAACTCAACTCAACGCCTGTCGGCCAGGAGCTTCAGGTGTGGTGAAGACAGAGAAGCCAGGCAACGCCATGCCTGCACCCAGACCGCTCGGCCGGCGGCGTCATCAGAGGATGGTGCAGAAGAACTTCTTCTCCCGGAAAGGGTTCTCGGAGGCAGGGACGGGCACGATGAGGGGGTCCTCTCGTATGTGGGCGTCGCAGTACGCCATCAGGTCTGCAGCTGCTTTGGAAACCTGAAACGTTACAGATAAAGGAAAAGATTAGATGATCTGGACATTCATCAAAAGATTTAAGGGGTTTGTCTGATCTTAAGACAACGAAACTGCATCTTTATCGGGTCCAAGCTACCCCTGTAAGACACTGATGTTGACTGGATAAGGAACAGACCGTTTTATGGTCACAAACTCTGGGTAGTGACTGAAAGAATGAGATTGTGGATAAAGACGGTTGAAATGAGTTTCTTCTGCAGGGTAGCTGGACTCTCCCTTAGAGACAGGGTGAGACGTTCAGTTATCAGGAGAGACTCGGAGTAGAACCGCTGCTCCTCCACATCAAGAGGAGCCAGTTGAGGTGGTTCAGGCATCTGGTAAGGATGCTTCCTGGGCGCCTCACCAGGGAGGTGCTTTGGGCATGTCCGACTGGGAAGAGACCCCGGGAAGACCTCGGACACGCTGAAGAGACTACATACAGCTCTCGGTTATCCTGGGAACGCCTTGGGGTCCTCCTAGAAGAGGTGGCTGTGGAAAGAGATGTCTGGACCTCCCTGCTCAAGCTGCTGTCCCTGCGAACCGACTTCGAAACAAGCGGAAGATGATGGATGGATGGATGGAATAAAAAAGTTTAATTTTGAGTCTTTTGGAATAGCAATTCCACAGCAGAGGATAAGTTCATGTGCAAGCGCAGACTTCCACCTGGGATCAGACGAGAGAAGAGCAGCTGCTGCAGAGGGACAGAGACGGCCCAGAGAAAAACATGGAGGACGTCGCCATCTGATCTCCCGCCTGCCGCTTCACCTCACCCACCGCTGCTCCCAGGAGAACCCGACACAGAACCCAGGTTACCGTTCATCGGCGTAAACACGTCTGAAGAGGCGAACATGAGAGCTCAAACTAAAGCACATTTCCATCAGAGGCAGAGATTTCTCGATTAGCGATGGAGACGGAGCGCCATCGGTCTTTAGGTAAAAAGGATTAAGAGTTAGTGATAATCATTGAAAAAAAATCTTTGGGTTTTTGGTAAATTTACTACAGTTTCACAAAGACAAGCTCTGCATTAAAAAGATAAATTAAAACATTAGCAGCCATTTAAGGAAAGCATATCACTCGCCTTGCATGACAAACATTTAGTCAAAGATCTCCAGCGATTTGTTAGCCCTTGCAGTTTGTGTTGAGGATGACTCTCAGCTACTGCGATGCCAAATTTGAGCTCAATATCTGTGAAACCGACTGATTTATTATGGTTTCTGCATCACATAAGTTCAACTAGCTGTGGCAGCCATTTTAAATTAGGCTGACTCCTAAAGTTAAAGACACTTCGATCAACATCCAGTGGTTATTTTCTAAACTTGTTGAGATATTTCGCTAACAGACAAAACTAGGGTTAACAATTGAAGTCCAGCACAATGAAGAGCACCTGAAGTGTGTGTTGTAATTACACGATCACCCACGTTTCCTGCGTTTAATTAAATGAAAAACACACAAAGCAATCCCAGATTAAAACGTGCACTTCCATTATTAAACCCGAAATAAACACGTCTGTTAATCCTTTGTTCATTCGTTTCCTGTATCCACTTAATCCGGTCACAGAGACAAACGACCTTTGGACACCAACTCTCACATTTAGGGTGAATTTAGGATCACCGTTTGACTGAACATCCGTGTTTTTGTTCTGTGGGAGGAAACCGGAGTACAGTAGTCCATCGCTACTCCACGATTTATTTATCGCGGATTCGCTCTATCGTGGTTTTTCAAAATAGGATTGGACATGACACAGTTGACTGATTGATGGATGAGCCGCACGATCGGCACAGAATTTTTATTTAAAATAAATTATTTTAAATTACTTTGCCAACCTGATGATTGCTTCCTGAGAGTTTCATTAAAATCTGTCCATTGCTTTATGAGATATTTTGCTAACAGACAGATGCACAAACATCCTCACCCTTTCTCCTTCAGCGGCGGGCGATAATGATAACCTGCAGGGAGATGTTGTGCCGAGAGCAAACGCCCCCTCAGGACAAAGCGAGGTTCTGCTCAGACTGTTGGTTCTGACTGATTTAATTACCCAGCAGCCCCGGGGCGGAGGCAGAACCGTCTAATTAACACAGATCACGTCCCTCCAGCTGATTGAGTAATTAACAAGGGCGAGGCGATCATCCAATCGGCAGCCCAGAGACTGCCCGGGTCGCTGACACACGCTCACCCCTCATCAGAACAAGTCGTTATCACCCACCGCTGAAAGTGGCGTCAACTTTGTCAGTCTGTTAGCAAAATATTTGATGAACCACTGAATGGATTTTAATGAATCTCTCAGAAAGTAACTGATAAGTCTGGAGTCAACCCATTTCAAGATGGCTGCTACAGTCAGGCCTGTCACGACAACAAATTTTGCTGGGCGATTAATTGTCTCAGAAATCATTGCGATAAACGATAATATCGTTTGAAATTTGACAATAATTAATAATTATTGTCAAATTTAAGCAGAAATGTTGATTTGTTTTGAGTGCAGTACCTTTTTTTGACCACCGGATGGCAGTATAAGACAGAACTGAAGGATGGATAGTGAGGGAGGAGCAGTGCCTCTCTTTAAGAAAAATGGGAGGGAGGCCCCTTGACGTGACATGGGCTGTCTCTCTTCGGTTCTCAAAATGACAGACGCTTGTCGTTTGAGCTCTTCAGCATTTTTCACACAAAGCTTTAAATAAAAAAAATCAGTAAACAAGTTCTCAACTTCTTTTTGCAGAGATTTTTTTTTTTTTTTACACAAAGGCACAGGTTTCAACCATGAATTTTGGAGCTTCGACAAGACGGAGTTAACCCTGTGTTAGCAAAACATCTCATAAAGCACTGGACAGACTTCAGTGGAACTCAGATTTGGCTGCAGATTCACCATCATGTTTGCCTCTGCTTACCATTAGCCTACACAGAAATGGGTATAAGTCAGTACATTTTACAGAAATTGATCTAAAACTTGGCGTGGTAGTAGCTGAGAGTCATTCACAACGCATTCTCCGAGCACCAACCGACCACTCGAGGTCGTTCAGTTTTTATCGGCAGCATGGATAATCTGAAACCATCATCTGGAACGATTTGGTGACAGCTGGAGCAGAAAACGAACAGAACTGTGCAGCGAGGCGGCCATGCATGACAAGTTCGCTGTTGCTCTTTAACTTTTTTTTCCGGCCTTCTTCCGAAAGACAAAGACGTCCTCACAGCTGCGCTGCACGCCGTTTCTGTTTAAAGAATAAAAAAATCAGTTGCTGTTGATCTAAAAGTGAAACATTTACTCATTCCTGCTTATTTCATCGTCAGAACTTCCTGTTTGTGTTTTTCATTTGATAATGAATGCTTAGAGGTTTGCATGTCGCCCGCCGCCTTAATGCTGGAGGTTTAAACTCCAATCACCTTTCATGAAATAAATTTAAACTAGAAGTTCAAGTAAAAAATCTGCTCGATTAACAAACATGCTGGGCGTGTGTTAGGGATCACACCAGGTTTTAGCTCAACGTCTGTAAATCTGACCGAGTTGCAGCCGTTTCTGTGTTAGGTTGATACGCTGCAGCAGCCATCTTGAATTGGTTCGACTCATTGAGTGAATCCAATAAATTCTGGAAGTTTAAACAAAACGAGACATTTTGCTAACATGTCAGGCACACAAACACATCACAGGCTCATCCTATTTAATAGTAGAAAACGTGTTTTCGCTGCTTTTCAAGGCAAAAACGTTGGCGCTCGCACTAAAACTTCATGTTAGAGGATCTGGAGTCAGTGCCGGGTGGTGTAAGGAAGAAACAAAACGCTTTTTGTGGCTCAAGTGGGAAGAATTAAGATTTACAATTCATGCATTTCATGTATTTAAGAGGTGACATCAGCACCTTAATGCAGTGGTTCCCAACAATGGTCCTTGAGGAACACCAAACTGAATGTTTTAGATGTTTCTCTGCTTTTACACAGCTGATTTGAATGAATGGATGATTAACGGGCTTTGGCAGAACTTGATGAAGTAATTAAATCACTGAATCAGGTGTGTTGGAGCATAGAAACTAAAAAATGGAGGATGGTGTTCTTCAGGGACCAGGGTTGGGAAGCCTTAATGACCCAACATAATGGTCACAGCTCAGCTCAAATAAGTATTTGAAGAAACTTCTTATCTGCGACTGGTTCACGAGGGAGTCTGCAGAATGCCTCTCAACGTTCAACTGATAAAACTCGTCTAAATCTGTGTGCACTCCGGTAGATTACATCGTAAACGTCTAGGGCGGGTGACACGTGGGCAACAAAACGAGGTGCACACTAAAACAGGCTATGATTTTTTTTAAATGTGGCCGTGCGGCTCGCTGGTCGCAGACAGAACTGGGTGACAACACTAACCCTCCTGCTGCCCTTGGGTCAAAATGACCCACAATGCCTCAGTTATAAAACCTGGAACCTTCTGACCAAAGGACAGCGGGGGGTGTAAGTCGTCTCAGTTGTTGACTGCACAAACAAACAAGGATCTCAGTCAAACCTGTATTATGGAGATAGAGGAACCAGAAAGAACTGGACCAGGTGAGTCTAGAACCTGCAGGCGTTCCTGTGCTCACAAAGGAGCAAAACTTTGGCTCCAAAGAAAGATCAGACGAGAAAAACCTGCTTTTATGAATTAAATCGGCGGGGCTATAGTCTGCATGTGCTGTCGTGTAAAACACCGTCGTCCCAGTCGTTGCCGTTTCAGACGAAAAACAAAAGTCTGGGATCCGGCAGTCTGCTCTTTCTGCTCTCCATATGGGACGTAAGACGGAACAGTTTGGATCTCGTCATCTTACTCTCGGTGCAATCTGGAAACTCGCAAAACACAAACTAAACGCAGCCCTCCTCGACCTCAGACGTGTCAAAACAGACACAAATATGTGGCAGAATATGTCGGCGGTTAGATCAGCTGCTTGCTGTCCTGCGTGGACGTTCCCGATATCAACACGTCCGGGACCATCGGCTCGTATTTACGAGCTCGTCAGCGGCAGAGCTGCAGTTTGAGACTCCGCAGCGAGTCTAGAGATGAAAAACCAGTGAGCACTTCACAAGAAGGAGTTTGTCATTCGCCGAGGCTGAGCTGTGAAGACAAACGATCAAAACATGATGCAACTCATTCGACGATGATGCCCAGCTTGTTGTGGACACAAATGCATTAAGAGGAACAACTATTTAAGTTGTGAAGTTGGTGTTGCACAAAAACAAACACGTATTTTTTTCCTTTCTGGTCAGAATTTTTAGTTAAGATCATCTTAACTTAAAAAATTGAGGTGTAGCGTTATAGCTCTTTAATCCTTGTTAAAATATCGTGGATGCTGGAACTCGGGAGTGCGTGTTTGGCTCATTGGCTCTGGTCATTTCTGTGAAACCCGTGTACCTTTATTCTGTCCATGCAGGCCTCCATCTTCAGCTGCTCCACAGCTTTCCTGGCTTGGGAGATGCTGGCCGTGCTGTTGTTGGCGATGCCGTCCTTCATGGCGCTCCTGTGACGAGACAGAGAACACCACGTTAAACGCTGAGCCTGCGACCCTTTTTAAAAACACAAAACGTGCCGATGCGCTGCAGGTTTTCAAAGTAAACGTTTGGTGTTTGTCGGTCTGTTTGTTTAAGGGCCTCCACAGCCAATCATCTGCTCATCCACCCAGCATCTTCCTCTGGACCTCCTCCCTGGCAGCTCACGTTCAACGTCTTGTGTCTAATTTGTCCACTGTTCCTCAGGTCCAATGAAAACCTGAAACCTCCAGCTCCTCCTGTCTTTTTGTTGTCCCCCAGTTCCAGAGCGAAAAATGTGGACTGGGAAATACTCTCAGTCCATCCGTGCACGTTATGAGCATGAGAACTTAGCAAAAAGTGAGGTACCAACTTCCATTTTCATGTGTGGCTACTTCTAGACATAAAATGTTCACTATAGAAAATTGGACTGCCAAGTCAAAATCCTGTCACTTATCTAGAAAACTACTAATGTTCATTATTCAAATCCCTCAACGATGGGGGACATAAGCGAACAGCTTGTTAGACCAAATATCATCTTGCAAACCTTCCCGTTCGCCTCGGATACTCAAACACGTCCACCTTACCATACCATACCATACCATTTTATTTATAAAGCACTTAAAACAGCGACAAGGCCAACCAAAGTGCTGTACAGACAGAACAACAGACAACACACAAAGCAATATACAAAATGAAGTAAATCAGAATATAGACATAAAAACGATGCAGATAATGACGACAAACCAGTGTGGAGCATACAGGTTCAAAACACATCCTCTGGTGTTGAAAGCTACTGAATATTAGTGGGTTTTTAAACGGATTTGAAAACCGAGAGGGAGGGGGCCTGTCTGACAAGCAGAGGTAACTCGTTCCAAAGTCTTGGTCCTGCTACAGAGAAGGCCCTGTCACCTCTGCGCTTAAGACGAGTTCCTGGAACTGTGAGGAGCAACTGGTCCGCTGACCTCAGGGAGCGTGGTGGGACATACGGTTGCAGCAGATCAGAGAGATGGGTGGGGTGGGGTGGGGGGGGACTGTTCAGCGATTTGTAGACATAGGAGTATTTTGAACTGGATTCGAAGGTGAACCGATAACCAGTGCAGTGAGGCCAAAACTGGTGTAATGTGCTATCTTTTGCCTGTACTGGTTACAAATTGGGCTGCTGCATTCTGGACCAGTTGTAGTCGTGCTATAGAGGTCTGACTGATACCAAACAGGAGTGAATTGCAGTAATCAAGCCTAGATGTAATGAATGCATGTATTACTGTCTCCAGGTTCTTTCTGGACAATATGGGCTTCAGTTTAGACAGCCGCCTCAGTTGGAAGAAACATGATTTAACAATCATGTTTACATGATTGTTAAGTTTCAGGGAAGGGTCCATTATCACTCCCAGATTAGTGACTCTTTGTTTTTCTGACAGGGCTAGAGTGGAAATGTCGATGCAGTGGTTTGTGATTGTGTCATTGGGAGGGAACAACATGACTTCAGACTTCTTTTCATTGAAACTTAAGAAATTTAAAGCCACCCAGTCCCTGATGTCAGCCAGGCAGTTGAGCAGCGGTTGAATAGAGCATGTACCATTGTGTCTTAGGGGGAAGTAAATTTGACAGTCGTTGGCATAGAAGTGAAAGGGTATGTTGTGTTTCCGGAAAATAGCACCAAGTGGCAGCAGGTATAAAGAGAATAGATGGGGACCCAGGATGGACCCCTGCGGAACCCCTCATTTAAGCTCTGTCACTGCAGAACTAAAATCCTTGATGGAGACACAAAAGGATCTGTCAGTGAGGTACGATCTGAACCAATTGAGGGCTGACCCTGTGATGCCCACCCACTGCTCCAACCTAGCAATGAGGATCTCATGGTCGATGGTGTCAAAGGCAGCTGTGAGGTCCAATAGGACAAGCAGCACAGAATCACCAGTAGCTGTGGATACTAAAATGTCATTAAAACCTTCAGTAGGGCAGTTTCAGTGCTGTGGAGAGGTTTAAAGACAGATTGGAATAGCTCTAAGATGGCGTGATTCTCCAGGAAGCACTTCCACTGGGACTCAACTATTTTCTCCAGTAGTTTGGAAACAAATGGGAGTCTGGAGACAGGCCGGACAGGCCTTCAACAACTCCACTTCTTGCAGCTTCGTCGCTCCACCTGTCTCCCACTCTCTCTCCGACTTTCATTTTCTTTCCAGAGCGTACCTCCACTTCTCCAAGCTCTTGTCCTCCTACTCTCTGCACATCACAGTGTCATCTGCAAACATGATTACCCTGATGTAGTCCCACCCCCATCTCACTCGTCGTACCACACATCTCACAACGGTCTTGCTGTCCTTCTACATGTCCCGTCTCTCGGCACCCTATCGTATGTTTAGAACATTCCAATGGCGCACAAATGTTTAGGGACCAACATTGCTGATGGATTTTCTTCTACAGTGGATGACAATCTCAAGTATCTGGATCCTGTTTTGGACCACCATGAGAAGGAAGGATTGAAGACAACGCTGGCGAAGTGCAAGGACATTATTTAGGGCAAGTTATGTCAGCTGCTTGGATTTCTACTGATCCCAAAAAGATTGATGCAGTGGCAGAACGGCTAAAACCAGGAGCTGTGTCAGAACTTCAGCTGTTTAAACTTTTATTACAGATGTTTAGTTGAAGTGTTTGCCAAGTTTGCATCTGAGGCAAGAAAAGGCTGAGGGATTAATCTAAGATGCTCGCATGAAAGCAGCTTCAAGGAACTTTAAGCAAGGTATTTAGGAGTGACCAAAAGGTCCTTAGGTGGAGACTAGTCAGGGACTAGTCCTCTCACAAGAGCAGGGTGGTAAAGTCCAAAGTATGGATTGTGCAAACCGGCGCCTTCATCCACCCAAGAACCATAGCTCAATGAAACTTTAGTTTTTTTGTCATGAAACGGGCCAAAAGTTTTGTGAGTACCTGCTAGGCCACAAATGTGTAGTTTGGACTGGTACCAACTCCTTCATACTGGGATGTTTCCAACAGTATTGGTTGGTCGAGCTTGCAGTCTAAGATTCGACACAGTCCAAGGTGTATTAATTAATACGCAGATGTCTGTGTCCGGCGTCATCAGGTAAAACTGTTGCAACAGATCAACCAGAGACCCGACCTTCAGAAACCATTAACTTCTTAGGAATCAGGAACAAATCTGCCCGTGCTTCGCATCCAAGCAACTTTTTCTAAGGACCAACAAACAGAGGTGACCTCAGACGTCCTTCATTAGAAGATGTGAAATATTTTCCTGACGTTTTATGATAATATTTAAAACTACCAGTGAATTAGAATGGAAGCACCCTTATTAGCATTCAGTTAAAAAATCCTGACCTGTAGCTGTTTGATGCAGCTTTGACACATAAAACGAACAGCTCGATGAAATGCAGTGAAATAAAAGAAACAAAACAATGGCCATCAGTGGGATTTTGACAAAAGACATGAGAAAATTGAGCTCTTTCTGGAGCTCTACAGCGAACTGGTCCTTCACACTTGGAACATCTTGTAAAGTTTAAATAAGTCACAGAACAGCGGACGTTACGTGTCTGAACCAACATTTTGATCTTTTTTTTTAATGGTTTTTACGCAGTCACAGCTGAAATTTGATGATTTTCACAGGATTTTCCGCAGAACAATCAACTGACAGTCGATGCCACGCCCTAACGTCTAAAACGTTTGTAACATTTGCAAAAAAACGCGTCTAACTTCTAGAACTTTGAGTACAAAATAAAAATCATAAATAAAAACTGGGTAGCTATTCATGCCTTTTCATCCAGCATGTTTCTCTCAGCTGTAGAACATACAATTTTCTCTCAAACCCTCTCAGAATGAAGAGACCGAGCTTATACAAGCGTCTAGACTTCTAGATATTTTAGCTACAAATACTCTCTTGGAAACAGGAAGTGAACGATGGTTTTAACTTGTACCATCTACATAAACTATAGTAACGTAAAAAAGCATAAAATAATTTTAAAAATAGTAGAAACAATTTTTTAAAAATCATACGTGACCGTCAGAGCCTTCTGCCGCTTACGCCTTGAGAATTTTTAAGATCCGACTCAAAGTTTTCGCACAACGATCGTTCGTTTGAGGCTTACTTTTCAGTCTGCGTTAGTGAGTCTGCCTCCCACCAACAGAAAGACACAGGTGTGTGGTTACCATGGCGACCACAATGAGCCACCAGCAGGAGCTTCAACACTTCTTACACAGTTCATATATTACAATGTAGGCCTTTTTGTTTTTTTTAATAATTTGGCAAATTTATCTTTTTTTTTTTTTGCTTTTTAAGCAATTTGAGGAATTTTCCAGCCGAATCATTTCTGACCAACGCGGAACACTATGTTGCATTTACTGTATCTTCAACACCCCCCACCCCCTTATGTATTTATTTATTTTTTTTTAATTGTTTTTATTTTAGCATCTGTGAAACCAGTTTCCATTTTTTAAATCCCACCCTGGCAGGAAGCTCCCAGGCCTTCTGGATCCAGGTCGATCCTCGGTCCTGAATCTGATCGCGTTTTATTTATTTTTGCTTAAATGAAACGAGTCGGTGGAGACGAGCTGCGGCCCTGGCCGGACTTGAACGCACCAAACCTCCCATGAAAATAAAAAACATCTATGGGCGCAGCTCGGAGGAAGAGGAAGATGAAGATGATTTATATTGTGCAGGCAGCAGCCTCCGACCTACCTGAACGGTTCTTCCAATTTGGAGAGATCCGGGCTGACTCCACCCAACACACGCGCGCGCGCGCACGAGACGGATTGGATCTTCCAAATTAAAAAATATAATCTAATTAGAGGAAATCCCAGCTTCGCCTTTTGGCCCGAAGTGGAGGAAGATCCTGACGTTCTGGTCGGAGAGATCCAGGCGAAGCCGGAGACGTGCGAGCAGCAGGGGGGGAAACCTCAGAGTGACGCCGAGATCCACAGACCGGGGGGGGGGGACTCGATCAGAGAGAACCAGGAGCTGCAGCGGCGACGAGTCACGGCGTGTGTCTGATGAACGAGCCGGCCGTGAACGCACCGCGGTCGTTAAATTAGACGCTGCTTTTTTAAAAAAAATGTATTTTGTTTATTTTAATTCGCTGCTCCAGAGATTTTCTCCAGGCTTCCCCATTTCATTTATATTACATCAGCTTTGACATCACCGGGTCCTCCCCGCTGCAGCTGTCCCTAAAGTAAGGAGGAATCCCGCATTTAACACCAGAAAGACATAAATCTTGGGACAGATTTCATCTGATCAAAGATGTCCGACACAGAAACTTCAGTAAACTGAAGCTAACCAGAAGTTTTTGTTGATTTATGTGTTAAACAGAAAAATGTTTTATTCAAATCGAAAGACATGAATATATCTGAAACGGGGTCATTAAAGCTAATTACCAAATAACTCCATAACATCACAAGTAGCGAAAGATTAGCTGAAAAGAAAACATTAGCCAAAAGTAGCTGTTAGCTTGAACTTGACAGATCTACTTGCTAAAAGTTAAAAGCAAAGAGCTAGCTAAAAGGAGCAAAATAAATTAACCAAAAAGTAGTTGGAAGCTAAAAAAAATAGCTAAAGGCTAGTTGAAAGCAGCAAAATGCTAATTTAAAGTTAAAATAGCAACATACTAACCAAAAGTACCAAAGCACTAGCGAAAAGGCGCAAAACAAAGTAGCTGGAAGCTAAACGTAGCAGTACGCTAGCTATGACGCTAAAGATTGACTAAATAAATACAAGTCTATTTAAGAATGTAAACAAAAATAGTGTAAGGCTAAACTAGCAAAGCACTAACTGAAATATAAAAGTAGAAAAAGTTAAATGGAGTAAAACCCTAGCTAGAAGCTAAAAGTAGCTAAATGGTAGTTGAAATGACAAAATAGCAAAATGCTAGCTTAATACTGTAAAACGATAAAAGCTCAAAGTAGCACAAGGCTGGTTACATATTAAAGCTTGCTAAAAGGTCTAAAATCTAAAAGTAGGAAAAGGTTAACTAGAGCAAGTAGCAAAAGGCTAGCTAAATATAGCAAAACACTCACCAAAGCTCAAAATAGCAAAGTGCTAAGCAAATACAATTCTAGCAAAGAGCTAGCTAAAAGCTAAATTACATCAATTAAAATTTTACGTAGGCAAATCTAAATAAGCTAAAAGTAGCAAACGGCTAGCTTAAAACTAAAAGTAGCATTGCACTAGCTAGATGCTAACAGAAGCAGAACACAAGCGGATAGTAAAATGCATTCTTAAATTATTAAAACGATAGCTAAAAGTTACAGAACTTGATTTGTTTGTGTTTTTAACTCTTCTACAATCGGCCTGTTCATGTTCGATGAACGCTCATTTGTATTTCGATGACTTCTCAGAAAAAATGGCGTCTAAAGCCAAACATTTTCTGTATAAAGAAGTGTCCCCTTCTTCAGCACCGCTCGGTCCAGTCAGTGATCCTCACTCGTTTCTGGATGTTGGGAACCCAAACTGGAGTTCCTCAGTAGTTTCCACAGGAACACAGACATTTTTATTTTTTATCATATTTCCCTTCTGTTCCCCAGAAATAACAGGATTTCTTCTTACTTTGTGTGTCCCTGAACACACCTTTTCTTCTTACTTTGTGTGTCCCTGAACGCATCTTTTCCCCACACACAAAAAATAGCACACTAGTAACATTTCTTCAAATATTTATATAGCTGTGTGCATTTATAATATACTTTCACCTGGTTCGTTTGTCCATATAACACATATTTACAACCAAAAACAAAAAAAACTCATCAATCGGTCAAAACAATCAAAAACAAGTAAACCATCTTAAATTATGCATAGCTTAAGTTAATAACAGATAATAAATAATCACATTTTCGCTCGGCCTCTTTGCTGTTTTCAATGCGATAACAAAATATTTATAAGTTTCACGGAGGAAATGAGTTAAGGACAAGAAGACGGAAACATCTTTTCTGAGAGTCCAGGGAGACGAGGACAAGTCACAGAAACATAAACAAAAAGAATATGATCAGAAAAGTTCCCTTTCTCAAAGACAAACCAGCACGAGACTCTTCTTCAGGCTGCGTTCGGCCGAACTTCCTGTTGTAAAACTTTCGCTTTCTGGGTCGGACTTGTTAGAGGAACCGAATCGAGAGAACGTTCTGAAATCAAAGGAAGTGCTTCGGACGAACGTCTGACTCCTAACGGCCGAACAAAGTGCAGCGAGTTCGATGGGAACGTAACGAAAAGGTGCTCGGACCGTTCGGGATCGGGTGGGGAAATGAAACCGGTCGACTCCTTGTAGGTGATCCTGAAGAACCTCATCAGTGCAGAAAGACCCGACGGGACATTCACCACCCTGAACAGAACAGTTGCCTTCTTCGGCGTTTCTTACATTTTCAGCTACTCGTTGCAAAGAAACGATGCCAAGCTGTGCGGTTTGAAAGGTTTTTGGGTGTGCACTCGGCTGAATCAGCCGAAAATGGAAGCTCGGGTCATTGATCCGGGTTAGGCAGGTCGTAGTAATGAAAACGGTGGAACCAGACGGGTCTCGGAGAAGACGTTCGGGGTTCAGCCTTCAAATATTTACAAAACTTATAGGTCGAAAAGTTTCGGCCCATCTTGCCACATCGTAAATAAACAGACGCGGGAGTTTGTGTCAGGCTAGAAATTTTTATTTTAAATACAAACTTCTGTAGAATTTTTTTTGGTCCCGTGTCACGACTTTGCAACGAGTAGCTTGAAGCAGCCGAACGGTTCAGAGGAAAAGACGATCTGCGTTTAGGCAGGCGGTCCGGGTCAGCGTCGTCCTAACATGCAGAAGTAGGACGGAACAACAGGCAGCACGATTCAACCCGTCCCCCTCCTCCCCCCCGCTGTCCCTCCTCGAGGCCGTGACTCCCGTGTTCAGGCGAGACGAGCGGGACGTCTCGCTGACAGAAGCTACCGCGGCGTCTCGCTGCAGGAGACCCGAGGCGAGACACGGGGTTTTATCTTCGCCACACGTTCTGGACTTTGGCCAGAGGATAGCAGCTTCGAGCAACAAAAATAAAAAAGACGAGAGAGAAAAAAACTCAAGACGAACATGAAACAAAGTTTTGTAGAAAGTGTCTGTTGCAGCCTCGGCCTCCATTCCTCCGACATTCGACTTCACATTGTTTATAAATATATTTCTATTTACATGTAACACTTTTGATTTATTCTCTTAACGCTGGGAGCGGGAGAAGGCATCGTTTACGGTCCGGTGCGTTCAGGGAGGTCGAGTCCTCCCCGTCAGTGCAGGCAGGAGCAGAGGGGAGGGGGGAGGTCAGCCGGCAGCGTAGCTGCTCAGGAAGGAGTAGAACATGGGCAGCTTCATGCGCTGCTGGTCCCGTCGGCACCACGCCATCACGGTGCCGTCGCTGTTGGCCGTGTAGAGGTGGTGTCCGTCGCACGAGTACGTCAGGCTGAGAACGACAGGAGAGGAAGTCGTCACCGTCATCAGTGCGGGGAAATAATCTGTCGAGCGGCTGACATACCTGATGATGGGTTTGTTGGACTTGGGGAACGTGATCTCCCTGATCGGTTTCAGATCCCAGGTGCTCCACAGCCTGAAAGCAGTTGCAGAAAAAAACACAACAATGTTAATAACTAGAAAGTTCCTGGAGAAACTTTGACGGGGACTGTCACGTCGCGAACATTTTAAACGACGATTTGACAGAACTACGTGTTGGGGTTCGCTCTCAGCTACCAACATACATTTCAGCTCACAAGTTATGGTCTTTTTTTTTTTAAATCTATGGTGGCCATCTTGGATTTTTGATTTGGATTCAGTATGTGATGGGGAATGTTCTCATCTATAACCACATCAAATTTGAGCTCTGTGTGTAAAACTAGTTTCTGCTGTGATAGACATCCTCAGAAAGAGAAAGGAGGGGGCTCCTTGGCGATCATCGAGCCGGCCAGGCCACCAGGAAATGTCACGGTGCTCCCGATGGCCTGTCTGTCCCTCAGCACAATGCTCTGGTTGGTCGCCTTCCATCAATCAGCCAATCATGTGTCATGTGCAATGTTACGGTGAAAACACCTGCAAAAGAGCGAGTCTGCGAAAGTCGAACCGCGAAGTATCGAGGGACAACTATACACACGTATACATGCACAGTTAGACCTGTCATGATAACTTTGCTGGGCGATTGTCTCATAAATTATTGCGATAAACAAATGTTTTATTTTTTTTCATTTACCCTTTATTTATCCAGGTAGTCTCATTGAGTCACAAGAACTCATTTTCAAGAGACACCTGTTTAGGGAGCAGATGGGGGTTAAGGGCCTTGCTCATGGGCCCAGAGTGGGGCGAATGAGGGTGTTTCACCTACCCCACCCACATTTTTGATGTCGTCGGTACCGGGGCTTGAACCGGTGATCTTCAGATCACAGACCCACCTTCTCTACTGTCTGAAATTTGACAATAATGTCAAATTTAAGAAGAAATGGTTAATTTGTTTTGAGTGTAGTACCTTTTTCGACCACCAGATGGCAGTATAAGACTGTTTGAACTGAAGGATGGGTAGTGAGGGAACGAGCAGCGCGTCTTTAAGAAAAATGTGAGGGCGGCCCCTTGACGTGACATGGGCCGTCTCTTGTTCCTTTATTTGGTTCTCAAAATGGCGGACGCTCGGTGTGGCTTGAGCTCTTTAGCATAGAGTTTTTCACACAAAGTTTTAATAAAAAAATCAGTAAACAAGTTCTCAGCTTCTTTTTGTCATCCATTGTCTTCAGTAGAACGAGAGAGACACGAAGAAACGATAAAGCCGATAAATGAAAACGAGGTCGATCATTTTCATTTATCATGTGATTAATTGATTAATTGATTTATCGCTCAGTTTCTCGTTACCTGACGACACCGTTCTCCAGACCTCCAGCGATGACGTTGACAGAGACGCCCTCTGGCTGGTTGGAGAACGCCACGGAGCAGATGGTCTCCCTGCAATGGACGTGTCCGATCAGGTCGCCGTTCACCGTCCACAAGCGAAGGTCGCTGCCGCCCGCCTCTGCGCGCACACACACACCAAAACAGGACTCTCAGCACGGACCTGAACGCACGTCTGCTACGTTAACACGCAGCACAAATAACCGCGGCGCTGCGGAGCGAACCCTCACCAGAGTCACAAACCGTCGCGATGTCTCCCGTGGTCTCGCTGGCAGAGACGGCCGTCACGGGACTTTTGTGGCCCGTGAGGCTCTGAACATAACAGAGTCTGAAAACAAGAAAGGAAGTTGAGAAACCAAACCAAGTGCGGTGGTTTTTATTCTGCTTCAAGTCTCCTGGACCCCGACCTGTTCAGGTCCCAGAGGATGCAGGTGCCGTCGTCGCTGACACTGATGAGGATGCTGTACGGTTTGCAGACGAACAGGCCGGTGACCTCACCTGTGTGTCCGTACAGGTGAACCTGGGACTCCACCTCCATCTCAGACGGCTGTGGAAGGAGGAACACAAATACTTTCAGAATAAAATAAAAACAATTTCCTTCACCAGATGCCAGTTTGAAACCAAGATCACCAGAAATGACAAAGTTGCAGCCGTTTTAGTCAAACTTTAATAATTGCACTTTGTACAGTCTCAAGGCGGGATGCTCAGCTACTACCACAACAAACTTAAGTCATAACCTTTTATTTCTTGTTTTTCCAAAATCAATTAACTGACGGCCATCTTAAGCTTCAAAGTTTAATCAGTTATAAAGGTCCAGACAATGATCAATTACTGAAAGTTTTATTAAAATTCATCCAGTGGCTCTTGAGATATTTTGCTAACAGACAGTTAATGCTTTCAGCAAAGCTCTCATAGATGGATACCTCAAAGAGTATGAGTTATGAACGACACTCAGCTCCAGCTGCAACAAAATATCTGTAAACCTGATTATAATTATTGTTGTGCTTCCTAACATTAAGAAAGACAGATCTCTAAGTTGACGTGGCGGCCATCTTGAACAGGGCCGACTTCAAAGGTTAATCAGTTGTAGAGGTACGTCTAATGATTACTCACTGAAGGTTTGAATAAAATCCATCCAGCGGTTCATGAGATATTTTGGCTACAGCACAGAATCAGTCTCATGCGAGTGTTTTGCTCTAAAAACTCTTCAGACACGAAGAAGCAGGAAATGTCTGCGTCGCATCAAGAAGCCATCAAAGTTTGACGGCCCCTCTGACGCCTGGACCTCCTGGTCCCACTCCCGGGCTCAGTGGGAACGCGTTTCGAGGGCAGCTGTGATGTGACTAATGAAGCCGAGCTTTTGAGCACAGCGAGGCTGCCTGGAGAGGGGGAGGAGGGGGAGGAGGGATGGGTGCTCGCGTGGAGGCGGGAAGGTTAGAAGGGGACGTCGCCATGGAAACCTACCGCGGCGCTGGTGAAGCGGTTGCTGTAGGCGGTGATGACTCCACACTTGCTGCCTGTAAATAGCTGGCAGCCATCGGGCACCCAGGCGCAGCTGGTCACCTGGGGGGGGGAGTTGGACGCAGGAAATCAGAACCTTTAGCTCTCGGGTGGTTGTGTAACGCAGATGAGAGGACACAGGTTATTTTAGCCACAGTACGCTCTTGATTGTTCCACCAGGTGGGAGGCTTGTTACCTGGTGGAGCTGGGAGCACTGGATGAAGTTGATGGGCGGCTCGCTCTGCTTGCTCTTCAGCCGTAAAATGTTGTCCGCGTAGCCCCAGCTCAAGATGGCCGACCACTGGATGTCGGTGCTGTGCATGCTGCGCACACCTTCGAGAACAGAGAAGGTTTAATGTTTCCGGCAGGACGTCGGCAGATCTTTGAACCTCTGGCCTTCGTACCTTGCTCCTTGCTGTAGATCATCATGAGGCAGAAGTTGCGGGACAGTCCGCAGATGGCTCGAGTCGGCAGAGCCAGCAGGGATCCGAACCGCTCCCCGTGGGGCTGACTGAAACACACCACGGGGTCCGGAGCAGAGGGCGAGCCCACGTACTCGCCCCACTTCAGACCTTTGATCCAAGGCAGTGGGCTCTGCGGGAAAAGAAACATCAGGTGAGCGGCCGAGCTTTTCACAGATGGAGAACGATCAGGGCTCAGCGGGCTGACGGGGAGCAAACTACCGGGCAGACGATCTCCTTCGCCTGTTCTCTTTCTCTGAAGGCCAGCTGAACCAGGAGCCCCATGGCTGCCGGCAGCTCCCCCTCCATCATGAGTTTGGGGGCCGCCCTGCTGGCGTGGGAGGCGTTGAAGAGCTGCCTGGGTGTCTGACCGTAGGTTTTAATCATCGTCTCCAGGGCCCGTCGCTGGACCGGGTCTTCTACAGCCGATACGTCCATGCCAAAATATGTCTGAAAGGTTCAATGAAGAAATAAAAAAATAAAACTGCATTTCCAGCGACAATGAAGTGAACGCTGAGCGCTAAGGATCTGTTGAAAGATGCTAAAACTGAGTTGAAGGTAAAACAGAAGCAAAAAAAAGTAGCCAAATGCTAGTTAAAAGCTAAAAGGAAAATAATGTTACCCAAAAAGTAAAAGCAGCATGACACAAGCCAAGGCCTGAAATCAGCAGAATGTTAGCAAAAATCAGCAGAATGTTAGCAAAAATC